CCGCAGCGGACGAGGCCGCCGCGGAGGGGCACGCGCCGCGACTACCACGCACGGGCGCGGAGGTGGCAGGCATCGCGTCTGTGATCTTGAGGTCGGGCGGCGACGACGATGATACGGCAGCCAGCATGTCCACGTTCGTGCACCGGGCTCTCGCGCCCAGGAGGGTCGTGGATCTCATTGAGGGGGCGAAGGCTCGCGGGCATCGCGCGTGCCGGAACGCAGATGCGGATGAGGTTCGGAAGAGGGCCGTGGAGCTTCCAGAGGAAGGCGTGCCACCGGAGATCATGCGCCCGGCACCCCTGGACGACGCTCTTGAGAAGATCCAAGTGCAGAAGGCGGCGACGCCCGTGCCGAGGCCCGACGGACAACGGGAGGCGGCAGAGATTTTGGATACCACGAAGGCGAGCGCCGTGGCGTGTGAGAAGAGCAGTTTCGACGAGGGAGACATCAATGCGCAGCGGATTGAGGCCGCGCGGACCTTCGTGCAACGGCTAGATGAGGATTGCGCGCATGGCGGGGCCGACGAGACGTCGAACTCCAGCGAGGAGGAGGGAGGCGACGGGAATACATAACAGGCAAGCAAACGCACCTGCGTGCGCGAGGGAGCGGCCTCGGGCGCGAACCAGGGGTCGCGAGAGAAAGTGGAGCGCGACATGCTGACACAGGCCGGGCGCGAAGGGAAGTGGGTGGATCGTCTCCGCGTGCGCACTGGAAACGTGATGATGGATCAGCTCTGGCCCTGGTATTTCGGCGTCGCGTTCGCGTTCTTGTTCCAGTATTGCACGGGAATGCCAGATTGCCCAGAGTTCATGAAGCGTCCGCGCCAGCGACGGGGGAATGGTGCTCCGCGGGTGGAGCTGCCGCTGTGGGTGTGGATAATGAGTCGTCGCGTGGAGAGCCAGATCAGCCGCGATTGGCATTTCGGCTTCGTGTCGCGGAACCTCGTATTTCGATCGGCCGTGAGGCTGAGCAGGACGTGGTTCACGTACGTGTCAGCGAACGCCACAGGCGAGGTGGAACAGGTAATTCCCGCTGAAATCGGGGAAGGAGCAAAGCAGATTTATCGCGCGCTCGACGATAAGTATGAAGACATCAACTGTAGGAAACAGAGAGTAAAGGGTGAGATGACAAAAGTGCGGCTCGTGCCATGGTTGGGGACAGCCGCCCACAAGCTGCTGACGCACATAGAGCACACTTTGTGGCGACTTTCTGGGGCGCAGGAAGCGCGTCGAGTCATGCGGCTTGAGACGAACGCGCGGCGCGTGCGTTCCGGCGTTCCCATATTCGTAACCTTCTCGCCCGGCTGTCCCGCACGCGACGGCAGGACCCCGTGCACAAGGCATCCGATGATGAAGCGCACTGGCGACTGGCGGGGGGTCGGGCCTGGCCGAGCGTATCCCCGACCTCGACGGGGTGCGCATGGCCCTGCCGATGGGTGCGGCGCAGGCTGGAGTGCCACCGTGGAGCGAGCGCAGACGAGTACTTGCGCGAGATCCCATGGCCAGCGTCGACGGATTCCGCATCCTGGTGGACGCGACGCTCCGTCATCTGTTCGGGCTGCGGACCTGTCCGAATTGCCCGCGGTGCAATGAGGCGGAAGATGGGGCCCTTTGCCAGGGCCTGTTCGGGAGTAGTGCGAAGCCCGGAGGGGGCGCGTTCGGGCGCGTCGATGCTTACTGCGTGTCCATCGAAGCACAGAAGTCCACGGTCTCTTCACGCGAACTGCCAGGTGTTCATCCAGTGCCTGCACCAGCACACACCGCTTGATGAGGCATTCGAAATCGTCCGGGACGAGGTAGAAGGGCGGGGGACGAAAATCGCAGAGGAGTATTTGGAGTATAAAAGTCGCGCGTGCCGCCAGGTTTATTCGACGCAGCTGGCGCCGGAGGAGATCGATCGGAAGTTGGACGAGGCAGAGAAGTCGTGGCCGGAGTTCACAACCGAGGGCGGTCTCATTAGCAGGCCCGCGTTTCAGAGTCACACCCTGGGCCCAGAAGCAACGGAGGAGCAGGCTACAGACGACGCTATGGCATGGGAGAAAGAGTACCTCGACGAGGACGCGCAGTACCTGCAGGAGAGGAAGCAGAACCATGTGCATTTGAAAAACGAAGAGACCGGGGAGCGAGCACCCCTGCCGGCGTGCCGCCGAAAAGACAATCCGAAGGTGTGCAAGGCGGACTTTCCGCGCACGTCGCAGATCATTGAGCGCGCCATCGTCGTGTGTCCGGGGAAAGCAGCGGCGTTGGACATGCCCGAGGCAGGGCGTCGGAATCGGGCGGGAAGCCTACACGGGCCAATGGATCACGCGAGTCTGAAAAGCACGCATCCACGCATGTTGTCCGCGCAACGATTCAATTCGGACGTGCAGCTGCCGCATCGGTTCCCCATCACGGAGGCTTCTTGCACGCGCGGGAAAGCGTGCGATAAGAAGCTCAACGACGCAGCGATCATCAAGGCTGCGCAGATGGCGCAGGACGCACAGGTAGTATACGCCTGCGACTACTGCGCGAAGCGACAACCCATGGCATTTCACGAAGTGAACGAGTGTTGCAAGGGAGTCGAGAAACTCGGCTGGCGGTTGAAAGGCGAGAGTGTGAGTCACATCGGGGAGCGAGTAGTGAACCGAATCATGAGCGACGCGTACGGCAAGTGCATCGTGCGAGGGCAGGTGGAGTGTGCGAACCTGAGAGCGTTCGCGAGGGAGGACAACGTCACTGCGGCGGAATCGCTGAAGTCTGGCCAGACCAGCTTTTTATGGGCGAGAGTACGTGGACTTGGTCGAGCGCCTGGCAGACCGCGCGACAGGCGGGCGCAAAGCTCAATTTGCCGATGTGGACATGCGGCAGAGGAGACGTCGAAAGGTGACCCTCCGAGACGTGGCCATGTTGTATGGACTGCGACCGAACATTCCCGACCTGTGGCACTTGTCCCCCTACGAGTTTGCAACGTACTGGACGCCAGTCCTGGCGTCGTTCCCGACAAGACTCGGGGATGCGGAACATCCTCGTCATCGCGCAGTCCTGACGCAGGCGGGCAAGGGCAAGGTGCGCGATAATTGCAGGAACCAGGGACAGGAGCAGGACCTGGAACCTGGGGAAGACTACAAGGTGAAGGAAGGTGGAGGCGTGGATTGGGTGCTGTACCCAGAGACAAGACAGGCGGGCGCGGCCATCTTCGCCACACGCTGGTCCTGAAGCGGAACAAGATGCGCAAAGCATCAACTTTTTTGGGGGCGCCCGTGCCCCGCGGACTTCCAGGAGAGGCGGAGCGATCGGTGCGCACTGTCATGACGTATTTCCACCCGTGGACGTTGAGGCCCGAGTCGGCCGACTCGACCGTAGCATTCGCGGGGGGCCTGCGCGGGAACGCGCCGACGTGGGACGCGGCCATGGTGGCGTGGCTGGGCGGCGGTGCGCAGACGAAGGAAGCCGCGCGGTACGTGGGCAACTTCCTGAGTGCGCACCGCGTTCGGCCACGAGACGCAGACGCAGCGGGGGGCCCGAGCGACGAAGACGTGAGCGACGAAGAGCTGGACGTGGGTTTTGATCAATTCGAAAGTCTGACCGCGCTATTCGGCACCTAGCCCAAAAGTATACGGCACTTAGGATACGCACACATACACACACCACATACGCACACATACACACATACACACCATCTTCGCGATGGCAGACAAGATAGCGGAGGCTGGCGGCGCTATTGTCCTCACTGGTCAGGCCGCAACATCGGAGAACGTTGCCGCGTGGCTCAGGGAACTCGAGTTCCGCGTGGACAAGCAGACGGGGCGGCGCGCGGCGAAGCGAAGCAGTTCGAGATGGTAAAGAAGGTGGCGAATCGAGTAATGCGTGAGATCGACGGCTAGGGGGGCGAGGACGGCAGCATGGGTGAGCCGCTGCAGCGGTGCATGCACGGGGGCCCGGGGACCGGGAAGTCGCACGTGCTGCGTATTATTCATCATGAGTTGTTCGAGAAGGTGATGAAATGGACAGCCGGAGTGAACTTCCAAATGACTGCCTTGCAGGCCGTCATGGCTCAGCTGCTGGGAGGCGACGCCATCCACCATGCGCGTGGCATTCCGGCCATCAAGCGGGGCGAGGAAAAGGGGGGGGGGCGCGAAGCTGCAGTGCGAGACTGCGAAACGGCTGCTCCAGTGGAGGTGGCTACTTGTCGATGAGATAAGCATGGTCAGCTTCAGACTGCTAGCCGATGTAGACGCGAAACTTCGCGGGGTCATTCGGGACGTGGGGGCGGCGAAACTTGGTGACGGTGGCGTTCCACGCCCGTTTGGCGGCCTGAACGTCGTGCTGAGTGGTGACATCTGGCAGCTGGCGCCCCTTGACGGAGTCTTCCTGGGCGACGTCCCCACGGAGCGGATATCGGCGGCGCGCAAGTACACCTCGCTGCCACCCGTGTTGCACTGGCAATCGTCATTGTGGGGCGGGGCGCAGTGTGGGGCTCAGGGCGTGACAGAGCTGGAAGAGTGCGAGCGATGCGACGACGGCTGGCTGAAGGAGGTGCAGGAGGAATTCCAAAGAGGGTCGCTGTCGGGCGGACGCGCGCGCATTCTTGCACGGCCGAAATACGGCCGTTCCTGGGAGCTGGCTGAGCCGGGACGTCCGTTGGGGAATCGGGCGTGTGGGGAATTGTGCTGTGGCGGAAGGGATGCAGCGTTGTCGGCAGCAGGACAACGGCGAAAACGCCCAGTGTCCCCGAAGGATATCCGCGAGCAGGAGTGCAAGGTGTGCAGTGAGGAACGCGCACGGCGCAAGCTCGTGGTGGATGGCCCCAGCGACCCGCGTCTGCAGTCGGACAAGTTCCTCGTGGCGCCGGGTGTGTTTCCCAACAACGACGTGAAGTACGAAGCGAACAAGCTCCGTGCGTCCCAGTACGCACGCAAGCACAGGAAGCCGATGGTGTACGTGCCTGCGCGAGATACGCCCACGCCTGAGGCGCTGCGAGAGCGCCCGGATCTGCCGCAGCAGAAAATGGCGTGGCTCCAGCGCCACGGCAAGGAGAGCGGGGCCTTGCACGGCTTCTTGCCCATCGCCGACGGCATGCCTGTCGCCCTGACCGATCATGCCGACCGAAGCGAGGACAAGAACCTGCTGCGCGGTCGCGTGGGCCGGGTGCAGTCTTGGATTTGCGACGGGGACGGCGAAAATGATGAAGTCACGCGCGGCGGAGAAACCATGGTGAAGAAGACGCCGAAAGTGATTCTCGTGTTGTTCGACGTCGGCGATGACGGGAACGGCGGCAGGAAGCCGTGCAAGTGGACGGTCGAGGGATTAAGGGTGCCAGGCTTGCACCCCGTGGTTCCTCAGAAGAAGGAGTTGTTCGTGGAGAAGGGTCGTCCGCATCCGCGACTGAAGATCAAAAGACGGCAGCCCCCCCTGGCCCCGGCCTTCGGAATGACGGCCCATGCGGCGCAGGGGCAGACGTTCAAGCAAGGTGTCATCTTGGACCTGGGCATCGGCAGGGGCACGTCGCCTCTGTCGAGCTACGTGGCACTGGCGCGGGTGCAGCGCCGCGAGGACACGCTGATCTTTCGCCCCTTTCGTCGACTTTGCGCCGTATCAGAGGAAGGGCGACCGGAAGGGCCCGGAAATACTGCTGCGCACGCTGCGCGGGGACGACCTGGAGTGGGAGGCAATTGAGCAGGAGTTCGCGTCATCTGGGAGGCGCGCAGTCTGCGGGCGCACGAAGCACAAGAACCAGTACCCCGCTGTCGGGCAGTGGAGCCGCGCAGACGGGCTCCGCGCGTGCAGCGCGTGCTTGGAAGATAAGAAGAGGTCGGGCGCAATGCGTGGGCTGCGGCAGGTGGAAGTGCCAGGAGGCTTGCCGCGCATCGCAGCACCACTCGTCGAAGTTGACGACGCGGCGCTGCGTGGACTGCCCCGAGAGACGGAGTTGCCGCGAGCGCGAGGTTCGAACGTGCGAAGAGGCGTTCGCGCAGTGTCAGTGTGGCCGTGCAGGGAACAGCCGGCGCAGAGGGGGGATGTGCATAGAGCGCGACGAGCTGAGGCGGAAGCTGAAGGGTTCCCGATGCGGCCAGGAGAAGTAGGCAGACGAATTTGCCAAGACGGACAGGACAGCCGAGGAGCGGAGGTGCAAGATGTGTAAGTCATTGGGGAGAGAGGAGGACAGACAGCGCACCGAGGAAGCAAAACGAGTGGTGTGTTCAATATGTGGGAAGCCGAAGAGCAATGGCGACTTTGCCGCTGACAAGTTGGACCACGTCTCCAAGGCGCCGATTGCATGTGCCCAGTGCGTCGACGCTGCGGCTGTGCAACGGGGCACTGCGGCAAGGAAGGACGTGAGGGCCTGCGTTGTGTGCGAGGTGGCGCAGCGGCGTGAATGCTTTTCGAAGCGGACGTGGGGGGGCGTGGCCGAACGAGACCGCAAGTGCAAGCGCTGCGTCAACGGCGCGGCCGCGCGACGGGGCGCGGCGGCGAGGAAGGATGTGAAGGCGTGCTTTTGTGCGAGGTGGCGCAGCGGCGTGAGTGCTTTTCGCAAGGGATGCGGGAGGAAGTTGCTAATCGAAGCCGCAAGTGCAAGCGCTGCGTCGTTGGCGCGAAGCAGCAGCGCGGGCGTTGGTAATGCATTGCTTGTAAGGGCGCTGTCGGGGGGGCGGAAGTCAGCAGCTGGTTGGCCAAGCAGACGACGAAAAAGTCGGATGGGAAGCAAGGGTGCAACAAGTGTTTCGATGATGAAGAGCGCAAAAGGAAAGTTGCCGAGCGGACCTGAGAGTGCGTGGCGAAGAAACATAAGTCCACGTAGATTTGCGGCGTCGGGGCCCTGGTCGGTTCCAGGCGAGATGACGCGGGGTTGGAAGTCCGAAGGACAGGGCTTTCTCGAGGTGGGGGTGCGGTCGCGAAAAGGGTTCTGGGAGAGGTGATGTGTTGGGGGGTCTGGAGGAGAGAGCCCCCGCGGGGTAAGAGGTGCCCGGCGAGGAGGAGAGCGAGGATGAGGACCCAAGAAGAGATTAGCGTGGGTTGGGGGGTGCCCAGGCCGGGAGGGGGCCCAGGAGGGGGGCGCTGGTAGGTTCCAGGCGAGATGTTGCGGGTTGGGGGGCCCCAAGAGAAGAGCTGCCGTGGGTGAGGATGCCGGGGCGAGGTGGGGGGCCAGGAGGGGGGCGTCGGTAGGTTCCAGGCGAGAAAGCCCCGAGTGCGGGGCCCGAGAACAGAGTTGGCCAGGTGGGGGGCATCGGTAGGCTTTCCTGTGCTCAGTGGAATTTAAAATTCCTGGGGGATGTGTGGGGGCGCTGTCGGGGTGGCGCCCTCGCAGGGCTGCGTTTCTCTAGCAAATTGGGGGGGGGGGGGGCGAAGGCGGCCAAGAAGAGCGGCGAGGGGGTGGCGGAGGGCGAGGGGGGGAAGGCGCTTGGCCTTGGTAAGCCTAGTAGATGTGGGAGCAGCAAGTACGTTAGCCCAAGCAGCAGGCGGCGAAACCAGTTGTTGAGCCCCCACTTTTGTGCACAGTGCGAAATCACAGCATGGTCTGTTGCTGCGCCCCGCCCCGCCATCACCCCTAAGGGTCCATGTTTGTGCGCCCCTTCGAATGACACGAAGGGGGTGCACATAGTCAGCAGCATGAGACATGCATGTTTGACGCTCGAAGTAGATACCCCAAATACAGAAGTGAGGGGGTGGAAAACACATCTAAGGGGGGAACGCTGTAGAACGGGTGGCTGTTTCGCCCAAAGATGTTGATGGCTGGACTTGCCACTTCCGCCTCATATCCCGCCCCTCCGCGCATTCCAGCTCACTTCCACAGCCGTCGTCGGCCAAGCATGGCGCGCTGTTTGTCGTCGCCTTCTGCCACCCGAGCCCAACCTGTCCGAGGGCCCGACTTCGGCGATTGCTTGTCGAGTCGCAATGTGGCTGGAGCAGAAGGCCCCCGTGATTCAATGCCGACTTAGCCTTTCCGAAAATCAACCCCGAACCCCGATATCTGGATTTTGGCAGTTGGCGCGCGCGTGTAAAGGGGGGGGGGATTGAAGAGGCTCATTGGTCATTGGCCCTGTCAGGCGACAAGATGAATTTGGCCATGGACCGTGGCGCGTGGGCCCTGGCAGTTTGGTGGGCTAACCAATGCGGGGGCGGGAATTTGTATGTGATTCCGAAGACAACGCATGGGGCTTGGTGGTCATACCGTCATTATTTTGGTCACGTTGAAGTTTTGGTAGCACGCTCCGTTCGAGGTAGCGGTCTCCTCGACATGGGCATGCCAATCAAGAATTTGCAACTGTGCTCCCGAAAAAATTACGGTGAATGGGGCAAAAGGCCTTTAGCCCTCTGGCGTGGAGTCCCACATTTCGTCGACAACGACATGGAATGTATCATGAACGTCTTAGACGACAAAGAGGTCAACAGCTTCGACGCCATGATGCAGGTCGACGGCTTCGCGGTACAGTACACTTGTTTACGCCCAGTCGGCCACCGCGGAGATGTGCCAGATCGCTGTCGTGATAGAGTGCCCCACTTGCCGTCTTGGAAAGATTTTGCCCACGCGTTGATGTTGCCGTACGTCGAGGAAATGTGGGGGATTCTCTGTGAAACTGGTCCTCCGGCTTGCCCGCCACCGCAGAAGCATCCTCACTTGATGACCAAGGAATTCGCGGAGCCAGAGTCCCCGATGTTTGCCATCGGGGCGCGGGCATCATCATCATCAGACCACCAGAGGCAGCTCGACACGCAGGCAGCCACAGTCATGCAGCTGCAGCAGGTGGTGACAGATGCGGCTGCGACAGCCGCGACGCAGGCGCACACGGCAGCGGCAACGACAGCCCGCAGGACGAGGCGGGCTTGATGGCAAAGTTCGGAGACCCGAGGATACAAGTGGAACCGCAAAACATATTTGAGGTCAGTTCAACATGCGGCTGGCAATTGGCCGCCGCCAGGCGCCCAGCGCGTTGTAGAGCAGAGTGCAATGTGTCGGAGTTGCGGCAAGAAGCAGCCTGGTGCGTTTTGCGTTCTTTCCATGTGCAGGCCACGCTGCGATTATCTGCGCGGAGACAGGCATTGCCCGCAGCATGACAATTCGAGCTGAATCGGCCGAGGGGAAGAACAACACAAATCAACTGATTTGTTGACGCTTCGCGTCTCCACACCAGCCCATCTTGATACCCCAAGATGGCTTCCAGGTGGCTTAATATAGGTCAAGATGGCTCAAGGGTCCCCACGATGCCCCAAGAGGCCCCAAGAACGTTCCAAGACGGCTCCAAGCGGCCGAAGGACTCCATTGGGAGGCCCCGAAGAGGCAACAAAAACGTCACGCCTTTACTGAACATCAACGTGCGTTGGTTTCTTGCCTTTTTGCTTCCGGCGGCCGTCCGAGGCCTTGAGGCGGCTCCAAGATCGCCCCAAGAGGGCCCCAAGGAAGGCCCAATGGATCCCCGAGACGGCCCCAAAAGCGCCCAAGAGCGCCCAGCGATCCAGGATGCGATTTTCGGTGCTCCCGAGGGGTTTAATTAAAGCCCCACCTTTGTTTGATCGACATCCTCCGAGATGGCCGAGAAAGCGCCCCAGAAGCTCCCAGGGGCGCCCCGAGAGGCGCCCGGGCAGCCAGGAGAGGCTTCCAAGAGGCTCAGAAGTGCCTCCATGCGAGGCCCCAAGAGGATCCCCGAGGCACGCAATTATCTTGCCTTTTCCTCCTCTTCCTCCTCGTCCTCCTCTTCCTCGCCCTTCTCCACCCCCTCCTCCTCTTCCTCCTCCTCCTCCCCCTCCTCCTCTCGGCCCTCTCCTTCTCCTCCGACGACGGCGATTCCTCCTTCATCCTCCCCTTCTTGGTGTATATTATGGTTTCCCACGCCCCTTGTTGTTCTGCGTGCTCCCTCACTCCCTGATCACCTCAACTTGCCCGGGCATCCATCTTGGGCCATATTGGGCGCCCTGGCCGCCCGCGACATCCTTTGCCCAAGTCCAGGAGGGGGAGGGGGGGGGGGCGGGGGGGCAGGGGCAAACCCTTCCCCAGGGGAAAGAAATGGGGTTGAACGAGGAGACCCCCTAGACCACCTACGCCCAAAGGGCTGGTGAGATTGGCTTGCCCTGTGCCCCCATTCCCTTCCTCCTCCTCTTCTTTCTCCTGCTCTTCTTCCCCCTTTTCCTCCTGGTCATCCATCCTCCTCTTCCCCCCCCCCCCCCCCCCCCCATCCTCCTCATCCGCGTCCTACTCCAAATCAATATCGTCTGCATTATCCGTTCGCTCCCTCCTGCTGCTCGTTGTCGCCATGGACGCTTGCGCCCGGATTGGTCTTCTGAATCTCGCCATGCGAAATGGGCCCCCAGGGGCCCCGCCCCCTCCCGCAGCGCGCCCGGAGGGGCGACGACGAGAGGCCGACACGCGTAGAGCATAGTGTAGACACACGCGCAGGATAGACACACGTAGAGTCTGGAAGCTAAAATCACACGGGGTTCGAGATGCCCCAGCAGGGCCCCCAAGGAAGAGCGCGAGGGGCGCCGGGGCCACCGAGAGGAGAACGAGGACAAGGAGGAGGAGGAGTCATTGGACGAGGAGGAGGAGGGGGAGCGAGACAGGTGGGTGCAAGCGAGTCGTGCGTTTCCCAGTCTTTAGCATTATCATCGCATTCTACCGTCCCGCTGCCATTTGCAACGTTCAGGACTTTAGCGGATGCAGCGGCCTCTCAGATGGAAGAGCTCTCTTCCTCCTGCAACTGGCTGCATCGGCCGCGGCTGCCAAGCGGGCCGCAGGCGGTTGCGACGCCGCGAGGCCCAAGAAGGCGGCCAAGGGCAAGGACTCCAGCATGGGCTGGCGATGGGGGCGCTGGATCGACCACCGTCGGCACGACAATCTCCAAACGTGCGTCCGCGAGCCTTCTCCAGAAAGTTCAGGACTCGTTGAGCGTGATCAAGGCCCACCCTACGTTCCTGGACATCGACGTGCTGAACCTTTTGAAGATCGAGGAGGGCGGATCGCAGACTCCTTTCAAGCAGGCCGATTGCGAAATGGTCTTGAAGGTGGAGGGCGACGGCGTCGCTTTCTACAGATGCGGCGGCAGCTTCCCCTGGGGGAATGCGCGAGGTTTCCAAATCCGAAGACGCCAAT